CCAGGCTCATGCTCTTGGCAATTTTGGTTCTTCCTCACCCTCGATGCCTGGAAGTGGTTTGGCAAAACGCTTACCTCAGAAACCTCCGGTGCGTCCGCCTGCATTCACAACTACTAACACAATTTCTCCAATGAGAACAATGGAGCTTTCAGCGGCTGCTCGTAGGAAAAAGCAGAAGCTTCCTGAGAAGCACATGCACGAGAAGGTGGCAGCTATTTTGCCTGAATCTTCCCTTTATACTCAGCTCCTTGAGTTTGAATCTCGGGTTGATTCCGCTTTAACAAGAAAGAAAGTTGACATCCAGGAGTCATTGAAGAATCCACCTACTATTCAGAAGACGCTTCGAATTTATGTATTCAATAGTTTTGCTAATCAGGTGCGTACGATTCCTAAGAAGCCAAATGCTGAACCTCCTACATGGACTCTTAAGATTGTAGGAAGGATTTTGGAGGAGGGAATGGATCCTGATCAAGCTGCCATGTTTCAGAAAACTAGCTCCATGTACCCAAAGTTTTCTACTTTCTTCAAAAGAGTCACCATTTCCTTGGACCAGAAACTATATCCTGATAACCATATTATAATTTGGGACTCTGCGCGATCTCCTGCACCTCAGGATGGTTTCGAGGTCAAAAGAAAGGGCGAGCAAGAGTTCACTGCTAATTTAAGACTAGAATTGAATTACATGCCTGAGAAATACAAACTTTCACCAGCTTTAACTGAAGTTCTGGGTATTGAGGTCGAGACTCGTGCTAGAATTGTCTCTTCTATCTGGCATTATGTTAAGGCTCGAAAGTTGCAGAACCCTGATGATCCTTCTTACTTCAACTGTGATCCTCCACTTCAGAAAGTTTTTGGGGAAGGAAAGGTTAAGTTCAATACAGTCACACAAAAGATCACACCTCATTTGTCTCCTCCACAACCCATACATTTGGAACACAGGATTAAACTTACTGGAAATAACCCTGTTGGAACTGCTTGTTATGATGTATTGGTTGATGTGCCATTCCCTATCCAGAGGGAGCTGAATGCTCTGCTTGCCAATACCGAAAAGACCAAAGAGATTGAAACTTGTGATGAAGCAATTTGTTCTGCCATAAGGAAGATCCATGAGCATAGAAGGAGAAGGGCTTTTTTTCTGGGTTTTAGTCAATCCCCTGTTGAGTTTATTAATGCACTTCTAGAATCCCAGAGCAAGGATCTGAAAGTTGTTAGTGGAGAGCCAAGTCGCAATGTTGAGAAGGAGCGCCGGTCTCAGTTTTATAGCCAACCATGGTATTTACTAATTCTTTGCCTCCTGCTGCTAATTTTTACTTACCCTTGCTATATAGTAAATTATGTTCTTGGAAGTTAAATTGCTTATTACCATACGGAGTAGCTTAATATTTGAAGTTTCAGAAATTTGGTAAGAAATACAACAATTTTCACCTAGGACAAAAGTTATACAACATTTGAATTATTCCCCACGGATATTCTATCTCAACTAATGATCAAATTAGAAAATCATTTCTATTCTGATTCTATGGAAAGTCAAGTTTCATTTTTGCGGGTCTAAATTTAGAGCGGGTGGAGTTCAGTAGGAAGTACTTTGCTTATTGTTTCATGTGATTTTGTGGCAGGTCATGTCATTTTTGTTTTATTTCATTGCGTCAACTTCCTTTCTAGTTACTTTCTTTTAATTTTAAGATGATGTTGTAACTAAAGGTGTTAAAGAAAATTTTCTAGTACTTACCGCATTTTAAGTTACCAGCACAGATGCCATATGGAAGGATCATTTGTCAAAGAAGTTAAAGATGCATTAAAAGGTTCTTAATATTACTCGAAATCAAATGTATAGTACTGACTAAAGAAAGGAGGGTCTTCAAGACAAATTTAACCAAAAGGGACAATTTTTTGTTGGTGTAATCAACCCTTTTATTCAAGACATTGTGGACCTCATCACGATATCTTTCCCCTTGTTGGTGGTGCAAAATTATGCAATGTTGAAGTGATGTTTGGAGATGCTAATGGAGATTGTTTTTTATTGCCAGGGTTGAGGATGCTGTTATCCGCTACCTGAATCGCAAGCCAGCTGCTTCTGATGCCCCTGGAAGTGGATGAGCTGAACTGGATCCTTGCCTGGTGTCAGAATGTTTCTGTAGAATGTATCTGACATCATTGTTATCTCAAATAGTCAGGAATGTAGGTTTTGCTCGCAATATTGGGTGGGGTACAGGGAAGAATTCCTCTGAAAGAAGCCTTAAACTATGTTTGGTTGTTCTTAACATCTCCCTGTGTTATGAATAGATGTTCAGTATTTGTATTTTCATAATCGAAAAAAAAAAACTTTGTTGCTATGTGCGACAAAACATGTAAAAGTGTAGGATATCTGGATGCGTTAATGTCTGATGATAGGACTTAAATTATTGATCTTCATTAGCATTCCATCTTTCCGTGATCACTGTATTGTTTGTTTGTTACTGTTCGTTTTATTCCATCGTTCTCTTGTCCTGCCCAGCCCCAGCAACATCTTCTTTTTCACCCGGTGTTCAGTATCCATTTTGTGTCTAGATTAATTTAGATTTGCCCTGGAAAATTCATGTCAAGGTAAAGTGCTCCCCACCAAACTTGTCTCCACCAGTTCAACTGCTTGTTGTCATTTGGTTTGTTTTGAAAACGTTTTTTATTTGCTTCTGGTAAAAGTACTTTCGACTGACGATTGCTGAGAATCTTTTGTTGTGTGGAATGTTCTTTGAAAAAGTTTCTCTAAAATGGACTACAATTCGACAAACCATGATGTAGGATTAGTTAAAAAGCTGAGGCTACCTCATTCATGCTCTTTTCTTTTTGTTGCGCAGGTCTCTTAAGTAATTCTACCGGACCTTGGAATTTGAAGGTCATGATTAATCCAATTTTATTAATCAAAAATTTAACTTGATCAATATATTATCCAAAATTTAATATGAATTTATCCAATAAATTTTCAATATATGTATTGATATTTTCGTTTAAGATTATTTAGCGGCATCTTCTTCTTTTAAAAAATAAAAATAATTTGAGTTAAATGTTTCATATTTTAAACTCGCTTTGTCCAACAATAGTTATCTACTATATTCAAAAATAGGATAATGGACAAGTAAAGATAGATAAAGAAGCATGACAGTTAATACTTAACACTAGGGGTGTTCACGGATTGGTTTAGATCGGTTATTGGTCAAAATCAAAATCAAATCAACTTAATCGGTTTTAAAATTATCAAAACCAAACCAAACTAAATATAGTATATATTTATCGGTTTGGTTATTATCGGTTTTGGTTCGGTTTGGTTTGGTTATTCGGTTATTAACCATAGACAAAAATAAAAGAAACAATTTATTCAAAACGTGAAAAAAGTGACAACAATCCATTTAAAACGAAAATAGTTACAATGACTAACTTTACAGAACTTTCAATTATTGAATTTACTAGGAATAAATCTTCAAAATTCATTATCTTGGCCTAGAAGAAAGAGAAAGTGATATTTTCAATCTTATAGAGAATTGTCATAGACACACTCATATACATAAAACCAATAAGATAAATATTCTCACTTTGAGAATTTTTTCTTTGATAAGTAAATTATAAATAAATTTTGATGAAAACACATATAAGATCTTTAAAAATATTTATAAAAATAATATATTATGTATGTATATTAATAAAATATATGTATATAATTTGTCGGTTCGGTTCGATTATTTCTTGGGATTTTTTCGAACAAAACCATAACCAACTCATATACTGTCGATTTTTAAAAATATAAAACAAAACCATACCTAACCCAAATAAAAATTAATTTATTTAATCGAATTGATTCAATTTTTTGGTTTGAACCGATTTTTATCCAAACCGTGAACACCCCTACTTAATACTAAAAAAGAAGTATATATACCACAAATAGTATCAAATATTTTAAGGGAAAATTGTATATAATAGCAAATTATTAATTCAAATTAAATGCTATAAATATAGTTTAATTTAATTGTACCTCATAGCAAGCTATTGTTATTTCACCTCTCTCCTGGTGAATCTCGCTCGCCACTCTCGTTCTCTCCCTCGCCTCTCTCATTTTTTATACAAACGCAAGTGTATAAAGTGCGTTTGTGTTTGTATAAAGCAAGAAAAAATTGTATATATACATATATTTTCGTTCCCCTCTCTCCCCTCTCCCAGATCTCGCTCTCACTCGCCTCTCTCACTTTATACAAAAAACACAAATTGTATAAAATGCGTTTGTGTTTGTATAAAGCGAGAGAAAATTGTATATATACATATATTTTCGTTCCCCTCTCTCCCCTCTCCCAGATCTCGTTCGCCACTCTCCCAGATCTCGCTCTCACTCGCCTCTCTCACTTTATACAAAAAACGCAAATTGTATAAAATGCGTTTGTGTTTGTATAAAGCGAGAGAAAATTGTATATATACATATATTTTCGTTCCCCTCTCTCCCCTCTCCCAGATCTCGTTCGCCACTCTCCCAGATCTCGCTCTCTCACTCGCCTCTCTCACTTTATACAAAAACGCAAATGTATAAAATGCGTGAAAATTGTATATATACATATATTTTCGTTCCCCTTTTTCCTCTCTCCCAGATCTCGCTCGCTCACTTTATACAATTGATTTTTTGTATATGTATACCAAAACAGATTATACAATTGCTTTCTTTTGTATATGTATAGCGAAATATACATATTTATGTTTGCTATGGACCGCAATTATGTAAACTTTGCTATAACATACAAATATAAATTTTGTGTTTGCTATATATGAAAGTTGCTCATATTTTAATTTTGGGACCCAATAAAAGGCGGTGAAAGGAAAAAAAAAATCCTTATCAAAAGCAAAAAGGAACAGTGTCGTACATCTTTTCTGTCTACTCGTAGGTTTATTTATCTCTTTTTTTATTTAGGAAGGGGGAGATAGAAAGAACTTGGAAGTTTCTAGACGCAGATTTGGCGGTAGGGCTGGAAGATACAGGCGCGAAGGTTCAATCTTAGCTGAACAAAAATATGTAATTTTTCCTTCTCTAACTCTGAATCCCTATTTATCTGTTAAAAAAATCATAATGTTCGTTTAATACTTTTGGTGTTGTGAATTTGTAATGACTAGGAGGCATTCGGTAAATCGGTCACCAACACCTGATACACGAGATGAACAAGAAAATGAGCCTACACTTAAAGAAATTATCAATATTAAGGTCAATTTTTAGTCCCTTTTCAGAATGTTGTTTTTGATTAGTTGTGTGGTTTTTTTTTACTGTTTGATGAATTGCTTTTTTAGTTGATTGAAAGTGGGGAAAAGGAAAGATTGATGGAGCTTTTGAGGGAAAGGCTTGTTGAGTCTGGGTGGAAGGATGAAATGAAAGCTCTTTGTAGGTAATGTATCTCTCTGTGACCTTGTTTCAAACACTTGGAAGGATGAATTTTTGTTGAGCTTTCTCCAAATGAGTCAGCTACTTCTTCATACATGTGTTTTGATCTGTTTCTCAGCAATTAGCGCCTTGACTTTTTGCTACAATGAACCCCAGATGGGAAGTTTATAACTTTTCTTGTTTTGCTGGCAAGTGAATACTTGATGCTTATTTGACAACCTTGTTCTGTTGATTTTTCTGGCAAGTGAAAGGCAATTGTGTGTACTACATTTCTCATCAGGCCTTTTCATTCCCCTTCCCTCATCCCAGACCATCCCCACCCCTTAGATCCCAAATGGTGCGCGGCAAGAAAGGCAGGTTATTTAAGTCTTTCATACTACTTGAACAATGAAACCACTAACAAGTAAGGTGTTCCAAGTTCCAACTGCTGCTTTACTCTAATAATTGGTTGCTTTCCTCCTTTAGACACACTGATATTAGTGTCTTTTCCTTCCCAAACAAGAAAGAATTATCTGTCTTAGACACACCAACCCTCTGCACAGCATCCCCCCTCCTTCCCAAACCAGAAAAAAGAAGAAGGAAAGAGAACCTTTTTTCTTATAACCGTGGTCTGGTCTAGCTTGTATGTACCTCAACTATTTACATGGGGTACCTGCTACCTCTCACCAGCATAGGTGTTTGCCATGAATAGACAGATGGGAAGAAATCACTTAGTGTTTTCATTCTCAAAAGAAAAAGATCACCTTGTGTTTTTGTCTCCGCTGGAAATTGGACCATGAGAAAATTGAACATGAGATCTCATGGTTCTCAACCCAGTCCATGCTCTTGGGTGCAAAAGAACCTTTTCCCCTACTTTTGACCCTAATTCTACTTAAAATAGTGTTGACACCCCAACTAGTTCTAATTCAACTAGTGAAAAGGAAAGGAAGAAACTCTATTATCCTAATTCTAAAATCCAATTATCAAACCTCTCTAATTAGATGGCTACCATGAATTATTTTAAAAGTAATAAACTTTTGTTTTGTAGTTCTAGAACCTTGACAAAAGATGTCACAAGATGTTTTTTCATTCAACCAGACACATATTAAAAGATAGTTAAATTGGAAAGATATTCAATTTCCCAAAAAAAAATTAAATTGGAAAGATGAGTTCAAGGAGTGATAATCCTCCAACATTTTTTTTTTACAAGAGGAGGTTGCTCGGATGTTAAGCACCCTCCACCTCCAACCCTGAGGTTGTGGGTTCGAGTCACCTTAGGGAGCAAAATGGATGGGAGCTCCTAGGGAGGAGTTAAAAAGAAGAAGGGGGTTTTGAAGGTAAGAGTTCGAGAGGGCAACTAGAAGATGAGTAGAAAGGATAGAGATGGAATTCCTTGAAAAATAAAACTAAAAGAACTTTCTCAGAAAAGGAAGGGATAGAGATGGAAGGGGTATGAGGGGCCCAAAGCAAGGAAGGGAAGTGAAGATATGAAGCATCACAAAAGGGGATGTATGGAGGAGAAGAAGGGGTAAGGGAGTTTGAAGGGAATGGCTAGAAGGTAGTCAAAGGGACAATAGAGGGTTGCAGGTCTGCTGAAAAAAAAAAAAGAATCATGGAATTGGTAAGGCAATTTGTCAAAGTAGGATGGGGAATAGTTGTGGGATATGCTTGAGGAGGGGCGGAATTGTGGGATAGGGTGGGGAAATAAAGAGGAGGAAGAAAACATACAAAATAAGGGTAGTGGAAATGCTTGACTTGTTTGATTAGTAACAGAGATTTTATTCTATTTGAAGAAAGGGGAAAAAGTATTACTTCTTCCCCAAATTAACTACTTTAAGCTGGCGTCGATGGTGAACTTGTGTATTTTGACAATATGCTTTTGTTAAATTATGTGGTATTTTGTGGCCAAAACCTAATTGTTTAGTAATACTCTATTTTGTCTTTTAAATTTGAAAATTATGTTAGCTATCAATTTTGATTTGGTGATTACAGCCAACTTAAGGGCACTTTGCTGTGGCTGAATTTGAGTTGTATATGAGGGGGAGGGTAGATCAGTTCAGTAGTGAAAGTTATTTAGTTAGATGATGTAAGAGAAAGGGGAGGGGTGGGTATTTAATAGTACAGGGGAAGCAAAATGTCATAAGAACCACTCTCGTTCTAGTTATCCTTGTGTTACAAGTTCTCTTTTTTTTTTTTTAAATATTGTCCTGTTTTTTATTTATGGTCCTAATTATAAGAAGGTTTGGTGGCGCTATCTTGGAGAACAAGTTTTGTTTAAGTGGCGAGGGTGACAACTATTTGTCTCAATCTTTCAGCTCTTAATACGCACTTGTTTCTGTGTCTGAGGGTACTTAAAAATAAATTATCCAAGTTATGACCTTATTTGCTTACCTTCTATGATCTTTGTTTGCTGTTCGTTATTGTGTACATATAGCAACCAAATTTTCATTTTGACATGTAACCTTTGTCACATTCTTTCTCTATCAACACTTTCATTAGGGAGTATATAAAGAAGAAAGGACGGAACAATATAACCATTGACGACCTTGTACATGTGATTACCCCAAAAGGCAGAGGTAAGGGCTTTGTATTTACTTTTGCTTTCTTTCAACACACACACACACACACACACACTCACACACCTGAAAAAGGAATGGCTATATATATGCTTAAAAGCTATTCCTTCTGCTTAATCTTCTAACTTTTCTTAAGCAACAAATGAGCATTGATGTTGACATATACCCTTGAGTAAACGTCATTCCAAATTCTTATTCAGTTTCTGATTTTTGGATATATTAGATGTTGCTCTTGCATTGCCTGCATTTGATTATATGTGATTGGTGTTACCCTTGCTGAACTTCTCTGCTGCTTATTTGGAATGTTGCAGCTTCAATTCCTGATCCGATCAAAGCTGAGCTGCTTCAGAGAATTCGTACATTTCTTGTTTCTCCCACTCTCTGATTCAACAGCTTCATGCATGAAGAGGGTAGCAATATAGGTGAAGATGTGGCATTCTGTTTGACTCATTTCATCTTGGAACATCGTTTGTCTAGATTATGACCACAATGAGGGAACCAGGAGCCATATGAGAAGATGTGTTATTGGCAGTTTGCTTGTTCCAAGTTTCGTAGAACTGTATAAATTGCTACTTGGTGGTTTACTCTATGTTGATGGCCCAGGTTCAGAGTTTGACCACTGCATCACCCTCACCTTTTAGTGGCTATATTATCTGTTTTCTGGTTATCCCTAGTCTTTAAGAAAGTGTAGTTTTTATTGAAATGCCTGCACAGCGGAATCCCCACTCTTCTTTTGTGTGTACTTTATTAATGTGTTGATGGGATTAGTAAAAGCCAGTTGGATGTGTGTTCTCTCTAGCTTGGTTCTCCATCGTACTTACCCCTGTGTTTTGTGTCTCTCCCAGATCTTTGCAACCCAAGTGCCAAAGTGTCGAGGGATTTTAACATCTTGTAGGCCATATGTAGGTAACAGGCATTTGATTACATATTGTTTTTAAGCATAATATGATCAGAAAGATCAATGAGCAACTTTCTCACGTCAAAGCAAATTTTCTTCAGGCACTTGGCTATTTTTCTGACTGCGGTGCTTAATGCAGTAGTTTCCCCGTTGGTCACAGCCAGACTTGCTGTTGTAACTTACTACCTTCATTGACATTTCACAAAACATTATTCATTATAGATAAAACGAGAAGTTTAAATTACCTCATTATGGATGAAACACGAAGTCTAAAGTCAAAATATTTATGTACAAATAAAAATGTACCCTTCTTGAAACAACAAAAAGATAAAATAAAAAATGTATCAAATGAAATGAGGCATAAGGAATAATTATCTTTGAAATGGAATGCAGCAGGCTGCAGTCCATGCAGTTGATTCTAGGCTTTCATCTCTACTAAATCTGTGTTTTATTATGAGGAACCAAAAGATGGTGTCTTTGCTGTCATCTTACACAATCTGTGTTCTGTAATGAGCAAGATAAGTTCTAAAATAAGGAAGTTCTTAGCTGGTGCAGTTTCACCTTTAAATTTAATACCCTTGTGCACCCAAGAAAAAGAGAAGAAATGACAGTTTAATATTGCACAAATTGGATAATACAGAGTTGCAAATTGCAAATGTAGATATGAAAAAAGACGTTCAATCTTTCACCCGATCATTACTTCTCTAATTCATTGTAAGATCACAACATTAAATTTGGGAAGCTCATATTCAAGCATCTCCAAAGAAAATCACACTACATTGGCTAAATTAGCCAACCCTGCTATTCAGAATCTCTCTCAGCCAGACTTTACACCAAAACTTGTGCTTTGGAAATCTGTGGAGAACACGTTTCGAATACAGTGAAGAACACTACTAAACTACAACATTCACGAGTTTATAATGTATGCTAATAAATCCATGACTTCAGACTGGCGCTTACGCACTGGTATTTTCACAGAGATCCAGCAAGTCCAAAGTCTGCAAAACCAATCAGGTGGTCACTTGTTAGGCGTTGTTAACACTCTTACTCTAGCCATAATACTTGCATAAGGACTCAAAACTATGAAATAAGTTCTCATCTTACCTCAGGCACAGAGAGCTCAAGACGGAATTTGGGCCCATCATAGTGATGCAGAACTGGTCTAAAAGCATCTTCCTCCAAAGCCTTACCAAGTTTCCTAACCCGGATCCTCACCTAGATGTTAAGTACACAAAACTCATAAGTAAAATAAATCCTTTTAAAAACTATAGAGAAATAAGTGAAGCGGTAACTCACGATTACCTGAGCAGGGAACCTCGACTCTCCTCTACACTTTTTATCTTCCCAAGCAGTTGGATCAATGTTAGAACCTCCAAAACTTGCTGCCTGCACATAAAATAGTTAAAAGAGATCCTAGTGGAGATTCATTGCTTCTGATGATGCATTGATATTTGGCAAGAAATGTACATTTTTTAGCTATTCTTAGCCACATATTTTAATAGTTCACATGTCGTTAGAGTATTAGTTTTAGTGCATTATGCTTGATATTGTGCAGGAACAAAATTGTGTGGAAGCATGACGAAGATGAAGAAATTGGACGGGAAGTGTAAAGTTTTCAAAGGAAAGAAGAAAAAGAATAAAGAAATTAACAAGGCCATGTGATCTTCTTAGCTTGGATGAAACTGATGTTGTAATGGTCATGTAAGCAAGCAAAGGAGTAATTAAATGCCCAGGAAATATAAATCCATCAAGGCTGCTGACCAAGAACTCAACGTGATGAAACCAAGCAAGGAGAGACTTTTAAGAGCACATTAGGATGAAAAAGCAGAGGCTTCTGTAAATCACTCTTGGCACGACATGCCAGGGTAATCTTCAGCCCAGTTTTGTACTCTGAATTTCATCAAGGGTATTTTTCATCTGGGGTTGTTTCTACGAGCGGTATAAGCACGGTAAACACAATGTAAGAAAAGTTCTTTGAGGTGCGCAAGAGCTAGAGACGGTGGAAGCAAGATTCTTCGTAGGACATTTCTTTCTCTCTTTATTTCTTGCATTTGATTATTTCTTCGAAAGATTTTGTGCTTGCTGCCATGAATATGTGTAGCTAAGCTTTATTTCTAGGGGTTTGACGGAACCTTTTATTGTTTGAATTATTGATGTTGTCTTTCTTTAATGAAACCTAGTTTATTCTGTTTATTCAACTGTTGTTTTGTGATTCTAATTAGTTGAAAAGGCTATCAACTAATTGTGCATGTAGGTTTAGAATGCTTTGTAAAAGATTTTAGACTGGGGTTGTGTTGAGTAACAATACTGTAAAGCAGGATAAGGATTGAATGCTTTAACTTAAAGTTGCCAACAAGAGGAAACTGAGGTCCTTATCGAGATCATTAGCCTGAGAAGGTAATATGTTAATCACTAAAGATGCGAAAGAACTAGTGGTAAATTTAGTCTCGCAATCTGCAGATATCAACTAGACCTAATTTGGGGAAGACATGTTAGTAGTTCAATCCAATAAATAGGGAAATCTTAGCTCTAGGTCTTTTTCTCTCTTTGAATTTATTCCATTACTCTTGCTTTATAGTTAATATTAGTTATTCTTATTTTTCTTAGTTTATAATTAGCTCTAATTTTTTACTATTACCTTAAATAATTATTTGATAAATAAAGTGTAGCTTATCCTTTTTAGGACTAGAGTTTGGCGTGATCACACATGAACAAATAATCGAATTTGAATGATATCATACTTGTTCTAACATCTCTTTTTGTTGCATACAATAACTATAGCAGAAAAAATGAGCCCTTTAAATAAGCCACCTTAAAATGGAAGCTAGTAATGCTCATCCTTCAGCAATTTATAGTACTTGGACTGATTTTGATAAATATGACGGTAGTGAGTTAATACCTAATACTCAAGGCAAAAGAAGTAGAATTGTGAGTCCCTCACCAATAACCAGTATAACTGCGTGGCAATGCTTCAAACTACTCGCCATTGGAAGATAACGAAGTCCTAATACTAAAGAATAGTTTCTCTGTTCTATGAAGAAAAATCTTACGATATTCAAAGCAACCAAATGCATGTCTAAATATGCTTTTGTTAGTGCAATATCTTATGGTCTTTGACCAAACTTTCATCATAAGGATGTAAACAAGTAGATGTTATCATGTTTTTGGAGCACACCAGTAAAAACAATATTGTTGGACATACCTCGAAGATACCATGCAACTGGTGAGTAGTGTAATTGTAGAGGAACAACGGTAACCCTGGAGTTATTGCCCTCACAGAATCTTTGTACCTTGGAGGTAGACCTGCGAAGGAACGATTGTAGTTGAGACTTGTGATAACAACAAATATATATAATTCCATCACCCCCTATTTATCAATGACTTCACCTTTCTCTAAAGTTTGCTCTATCTGCAAAATAGAATTATATAAGGTTCAAGGTATTATCAAGTTAGGATCTCGCGTCTTCTCTCTCTCTCTGTCTCACAAACAACTAAAACTCTCTGATCGACCGCACATTGTAAGAATATCAACGCATGTAAAATGCATACAGACGGTTAAAACAACATTCCAGGCATTATAAGGTTAGGATCTAAGCTTCTTCTTTTTTCTCTCTCGCGAGTGATTCAAACTCTGATCAGCCACCAATGGTAAACTGTCAAATCATGTAAAATGCATACAGACCAACAAGTAAAGGACATGAGTTCTCTTAGTTTGCTACTTTTTCTTCTAATCGACTTTGTCCGCATGTTCGCATATGGAATAAAGAATGTGGTGTTACATCATTATTTCAGTCACACTGTTGATCAAGCGCAGGTTCAACATGCACTTAAGATGTTTATAACCAAACGTATACAAGGCATAAATTCCACTCTCATTATGCCAAACGAACAAGTTCACAAAATAATTAAAAGATGATAGAAATTACCAAACAGCTGGCGCTTTAAGTCTTCCTGCATTGTGTCATTGTTGCAAACAAAGATATACCCACCAAGAACCTCATTCCTGGGCAGTGTCTCAGCAGCAGGCAAAGTCTTAAACCTTTTGTCAACAGCATTATTCCCATTGATATTCTCAGTGTTGTTGTTATTGCCATAGTTGCAAGCGTCATTCGTGTGGTTGCTATTGAACTTGCTAAAGGATGTATTTCCCAAGCTGTTGACATTGGATTTCGGGCAAACAGAATTAATGTTGTAAATGTCATTCCTGAAGGAGCTCTTGGTCGTATTGTCAGTTATCTTGGTATCAATATTCAACATGTTGAAGTATAGGTTTCCCCACTTGTTATCTTCCTGTAAACCAAGATAATCCCTGGACCTACTTTCAGCTGAGCCTTTCGAAAGGTCAAGGTTATTCCTCCGCTCACCCTTGGACCTTAACTGCTCAGCCAATTTTACAGCACCCGTTGTCCATGTATGATCTTCCGATACTTTTGATTGTCCTCGAAGCTCATCCCCGAATTGCCAATAGCTGTTCATACTGTCCATGTTGCAGAATCAGACAATACAACTATACACCTCCAAAACCTACATGACATATGTTTTAGCAGAACGAAAAATCAGACGAAAAGCACTAATAAGTAAGTCCATCACAAAATATCAGGCTATATTCTAAAAATCATAGCAAAAGGAGTTAAAATCAAGCACATCATAGTATAAGATACTCCCTTTGTCCCAATTTATACAAGTATACTTTTTTGAGTCTGTCTCAAAAAAAGGTCACACTTCCTCATTTAGAAATAATTTAACTTGAAACTATGCATTTTATGAGCAATAGCCACACAAATGTCTACAACTTGTTTTGAGATCACAAGTTCCAAATTTAGTCTTTTAATAAATTTTGTGCCAGTCAAACAACGTCATGGAAGGAGACTGAAAATACCACTTGAATTACATTATAGAT